GGTGGTGGGCGGGGCTGCGCCTGCCGAGCGCGGATGGGCGGGGCCGGACGCTGCGGGCGCAGACCCAGCCAACCCGCCCCGACTACCTGACAACTGACACCTTCTTCCTTAACCGAGGGTAGAAAATGACCATAGGCTGGCTGGAGGACTGGGGAGTGGGGTTCGAATCCCAGCTCCATCACTTGGCAGTCTTGTTCTCTCTGAGTATTAGAACCTCTTCTGCAGTAAGAAACCCAAGGGGCCGGGTGCTGGTGTCATCTCTGCTACTCAGGAGGCTGAGATCCGAGGATCGCGGTTCAAAGCCAGCCCGGGCAGGGAACTCCGTGAGACTCTCGAATAAACGACCATAAAAAGCCGGAAGTGGCGCTGTGGTTCAAGTGGTAGAGCGCTCGCCTTGAGCTGAAGAGCTCGAGGGACAGTGCCCAGGCCCGGGGTTCAGGGCCCACGACTGAAAAATGAAAAACAAAAACAAAAAAACCCAAGGGACCCGTGCCAATGGCTCCCGCCTGTCATCTCTGCAACTCAGGAGACTGAGATCCGAGGATCGCGGTTCAAAGCCAGCCTGGGCGGACAAATCGGAGAAATTCTGATTTCCCATTAAACCAGGAAAATGCCAGAAGTGGATGGAGCTCTGAATCAAGTGGGAGAGTGGAAAAAGTTAAGGGACAGCGCCCAGGTACTGAATTCAAGCTCCAGGACCAGGCCACACACACACACACACACACACACACACACACACACACACACACCATCCTCATTACAATAACAACAACAATAGTAATAATCACAGGCACTACAGAGGAGACATTAGGGGCTGCAATAGCTAACACCCCAAATCCTTAGGCCGTGGGAATGGGGGAAACAGGCCATGTGTGCCTGTGCACACATGCCCCCCCCCCCGAGGTAATAGAGAGAGGGGCAGAGAAACTACCACAGTCATTTTGAAAGAAGCATTTATTTACACACAGGGCCCATGCTACAGGCTCCTGAGGCCCAGGGCGAGGCCGGCCAGGCACAGCCCGTTGCTCACCAGGCAGCCCAGGTTGCAGAGAGTAGACAGGCCGTGATAGTGGAAGAATTTCTTGCGGAGGGCACTGTACTTGGGGTCCTTCTCTCGCAGCTGGCGGTAGGGGTCGGGGCCCTGGTGGCTGCCGGGTACCTCCCCGCCCAGGCCCCGCTCCTTTTCCATGGCCTGCAGGGCCCACATGGCGGTCGTGGTGTGGGGCTCCAGCCAGCGGGCATTGACGGTGGCCAGCGTGAGGCTCAGGAGTAGCAGGCCGAGCTGATGGGGGGATGGCGGAGGTGAAGGTACTCACCAGGCCGGGAGGCAGGATGGGGCTCCGGGAGGGGTCCCTTCTCAATGCTCCCAGTGTTCCCCAACACCAGGGGTTCCAAAGGGAAGGCTCTCTTTCCTATATTCCCCCCAAATTCCCGAGACTCCTCTGTTACCAGGTTTGTGGACAGGGTCTTGTTTCTCATCCACTGTTCCCCAAAATCGTCGTTATTTAAGATGACCAGAAATTAAGCTACAGAATTCTAATTACTAGCCTGGGAAGGTGGCTCAGTGGTAGAGCGCTTGCCTTGCATACATGAGGCCCTGGGTTCGATTCCTCAGCACCACATAAGCAGAAAAAGCCGGAAGTGGCGCTGTGGCTCAAGTGGTAGAGCGCTCGCCTTGAGCTGAAGAGCTGAGGGACAGTGCCCAGGTCCAGAGTTCAAGCCCATGACCACCACCAACAACAACAACAAAAAGAATTCTAATTGTTCTTTTGTTCCCCTAAACCAGGGGTCTCCAAGATAGGGCTCATTTCTTTTCTCTGTGGCCCAAACCCCAGGAGATGAGACTCACAGAAAGTCAATAAAATGCCTGTGAGACCCATTACCTCTACTGTCTGTGACACACACACACACATACACACACACACGCACACACACATTATATATGTGTATATCTATATTACCACTACCAGGGTTTGAACTCAGGGCCTCACCCTTGCTCAGAGTGCTTACAAGGCTGGTCCTCTACCACTCTTCTAGACTTGCTTTTTGCTGGTTATTTTTTTTTGGGGGGGGGGTGTCCGGTCGTTGGGCCTGAACTCTGGGCCTGGGCACTGTGCCTCAGCTCTTCAACTCAAGGCTAGTGCTCTACCACTTGAGCCACAGCGCCACTAACGGCCTTTTTTCTTTTTGCTTATGTGGTGCTGAGGAATCGAACCCAGGGCCTCAGGCATGCAAGGCAAGTGCTCTACCACTGAGCCACCTTCCCAGCCCTTTGCTGGTTATTTTGTGGATGGAGTCTCAGGGACTTTCCTGGCCTGGCTAGTTTAGAACTGTGATCCTTTGGATCTTAGCCTCCTGAGTAGCATGCAAGAGGCACCAGTTTTGCTATTTTTTGTTTTGTTTGATGGGGCTTGAACTCTGGACATGGGCACTGTTCCACAGCTCTTTAGCTCAAGGCTCATGCTCTACCACTTGAGCCACAGCGCCACTTCTGGCTTTTTCTGCTTTTGTGGTGCTGAGGAATCAAACCCAGGGCCTTATGCATGCGAGGTAAGCACTCTACCACTGAGCCAGCCCTGGGAAGCCAGCCTTTGTTTTGTTTTTTTAACAGGATCTCACTAGGAACACAGGCTGGTTTCAAACTCAGGATCCTCCTCCTTTAAGTGCTGGATTACAGACATGCACTACCGTGCCGGGCTCTGGGAGATTATTCTTGAAACACCTGTCAGGAATCACCCGCCCACACCTGAGGAATATAGTAAGGCAGGGTTGAGAAATTTGAGAGACAGAGGTGGGCAGTCTCTTGCCTTGTGGCTTAGCAAATGTGTGGCGAGGGGTGGGGAGTGGATGGAGAAGTGTAAATTCCCAGTCAGGCTGGTTTTTAAACAATGAACCGGGGTCAGTGCCCCAGCTCCGCTGAGTCACCACAGCCTGGAGTGAACCCAATGACAGGGAGCAGAGGAAGTAAAAGCCAGTGGAGAGATCTTCTGGAATACTCTAGGCTGCCAGGGACAGTCGTGAAGGCTGCGCACGCCTCAGATACCCACAAAGACACCCGGTGCTCTATCTGCAATGAACCCCCATGCCCCTCCTTTTGTTTTCCTAGAAAACTTGTCACTCTAGGTGGGGTCTTGGGGATTAGGCCTGTGGGGAATGGCAACACTCAAGCCCACTTACCTGGCTGGCCTCCCAGAATGTAAGCTGAATCCAGGCACGTTGAGGAGCCAAGATGCAAAGATTGGTGAAGGCACAGCCCATGGAGATGTAAAAATAGAAAGGGAAGAGCTTGCTTTGCACGAGGCCGAAGGTATGTCGAGGAAGGTTTCGGAAGAGCAGGAAGCCTGGGAGGCAGGACGCCAGAGGTTAGGACGCTTACCGAGGGCCCTTCCCACTCCCAGTGCCCAGGATGGTTAGGCTGGGGGTCCCTACCTGAGGCGAAGGTCACCCACATTTGCATGCCCCAGGCACCTGACAAGACCAGTACATGGATCACCTTAATCAGACCTCCTGAGTCCCCGCCATCTTCCATCTTGCAGCCCTGGAGAAGGTGGCACCGATGACTCAAAGCTTTACCTTTGCCCTTTGCCCTTCAAGCCCCGAGTCTAGGGGCCAGGTCACTGCCAATCCGGCAGAGATCAAGGGGAAGCAACCCAGGAATGGGGGTGGGGGGTGGGAAGTCCCTCCAACACTCCAATCAGGATCTCAGACTCTGGACTGGGGGGGCGGGGCCCAGGGGGCAGAGCGTTGGCCAGGCCAGGAGCTGAGGCCATCCTTAGCATGCCTTAAATAAATAAAAATTCCAAGCTCCCTAAACAGGCTCACGACTGTAATCCTAGCTACTCAGGAAGCTGAGCTCTGAGGATCTGGGTTCAAAGACAGCCCAGGCCATTTCCACTTAGCCAACATAAAGCCGTTCTGGAGCTGTCAGCCTTGGCATCCAGGCCCCGAGTTCAAGTCCCAATACCAACACACACACAGAAAGAACCTCAGGCTCTCGCTACCTCCGAGATTCTCCCCCCCCCCGCAACTTTCAGCCCTAGCACCTCAAGTCCGCACCCGTAGTGACTCCCAAGTGTCACCCCAGAATCCAGTTCTGAGTTAAAAACCCGCTCTTCCTCTCCTAAAAGCACCCGAGAGATCTCCTATGAACACCCAAACCACCCAGAGACCCCCAACTCATCCAGGGGACACAGACCGCGCCGCCAGGGCCCCGGATCTCAGCGCAGAGCACCTGGAGTCGCGAGTCGGGGCCGATCGGGTCGCCGGGGGCCAGATCACCAGGACCACCGGGCACGGCGCAGCAGCTCGGGGCCGGGCACCGCGGCGAAGCGCGGACCCCGCGGCGGGCCGTCGCCTGGGGTAGAGCTCTCCCTTTCCCCAATCAGGAAGCAGTCCCGCCTCTCCGCTGAGCCTTAAACCAATGGGATCTCCTATCTGCCCTCCTCTGTCCCGCCGCCTTAGGCATTGACTAATAGATTATCCGGAACTGCCTCGAAATCCCGCCCCCCTCGGCTAGGCCTTTATCCAATCATACAGTGGAGGTAACCTTAAAGGGCCAATGAGGTCGGGGGCTAGCCAGGCGAGGGGGCGGAGCTAAAGTGCAGGCCACACCCCTCTCTGTGACTCGGCCTTCAACTCCGGCACGTTTTCCAGCGATGGTGTCCCCACGGGGTCAAATTTCAGCGTCACAGCTGGGGGCTGGCTTCGCGGTCTCTCATGGGAGAGCATGAACAGGTGATATGTGGTAGGTGGGAACGGAAGGGGATTGGGAGCCGGGTGGGCGCAGGGCTCAAGGCCTTGGGGACGCGGGGGTCCCAGGCTGGAGAGGCATGGCCATGCACAGTTGACACTCCCAGATGCCTGTCCCGCGTCTAGTCCGCTCAGGGTTCCATTGCCTCCACCCCCAAGTTCTCAGCGTGACTCTGAAGAGCAGATTCTGACCTCCCCGCTGCTGGGGTCCGCGAGCCACACGGTTGGGGGAGGGGACAGGGTGAGGATTTGAACCCAGGGCCATCCAGCTGGAGGGTTTCTTTGGTTAACAATGATGTTCTTGGGCTGGGGTGGGGGGTGGTTGGGGTCATGGTAGGGGTGCATGACCCCCAATCATAGAGCACTTGCTTAGCAAGCACAAAGCCCCGAGTTCAAAACCCATACAACCAAGCCAGGCTTTGATAGCTTGCGCCTGTAATCCTAGCTGCTCAGGAGGTGGAGATCTCTTATCTCCATTTAGCCAGCAATAAGCCAGACTTGGAGCTGTGGTTTAAGTAGTAGAATGCTAGCCTTGAGTAAAACAAATACTCAGTAGCACCCAGGTCCTAAGTACCATTACACACACACACACACGTTCAAGACATCAAAGTGTTGGGCAGAAGGCGGAGGAAGACCTGGGAGGGGAAGAAAGGAAGACTTGGGGGCTGATCTCAAAACAGCTCCTGTCCCCCCCATCTCCATTTGCAGTGACCCTCTTTTGGCCGGCCTACCCCTGGACCCCGACTTCTCTGTATCCTATCAGTGCTCACCTCCTTCACCCTCGGATGCGTGTTTTTCTGCCAATGCAGAGAAGTGTAATAAGTACAGGGGTTCACGGTGGGGCTTGTTCTGAGGACTGAAGGGCTGGGGAGGGAGAAGATTGGGCTAAGCTTCAAGGAACCTGTTCTCCTTAGGCTCTTCCTCTGACAAGGCTTTGGACTTCAAGACTTACTGGTCCAGGACATCAGAGCTAGAGGCCGTGGGACCTGCTGCTTCTGAGGTCTTTGTGAGGAGCGTAGGCTGGAGGCCGGGGTGGGGCTCAGGGCCTCCGCCGCGTGGGACTCCCTCCTATTCCAACCTAGACCCGAAGAAGAAGCACTGTCATGAGCAGAAGCTTCTGAAGAGACAACACGAACTAGCCAAGGTCACCCCCACTCAGGAAACACCCCTCAAGACAGGAAGTCTCTTAAGTCACTGTGATCTAGTACTGGGAGGAGGGGATAAGAGAATTGGGGTTGTGGATGGGGAACTCTGTAGAGCCCTCAGTGTATGGCTCAACACCTAGGACACCGCCCCTCGCAGGCAGGTCTTTCTATTTGGGGGATGGGGGGAAGGTGCCCCTACTGGGGCTTGAACTCGGGGCCTGGGCACTGTCTCTGAGCTTTTCCACTCTACCAATCTGAGCCACAGCTCCACTTCGGCCTTTTTGCTGGTTCAGATAAGAGTCTCATAGACTTGCATGCCCGAACTGGCTCTCAACCCTGATTCTTAGCCTCCTGAGTAGCTAGGATTACAGGCGTGAGCTATCACGCTCGGCTCATCCAAGTGTTGAGAATGGGAGGGATGCATTGGCGGGGTTTTCTCCCTCATTGTCTCTGGGATGACTTTGCTCGTGTGTCTGCGTGGTTGTGACTGTGTGTCACAGATATATGCTAGGCTGCCCTAAGTCTAGTGAGTTCTTTATGCCTGTGACCGAGCTTGGATGGGGCTGAGATTGTGTTTTAGGCAGGATGCATGGTTTTAGGTGTGTCGGCTACATAGAGCTGTGCCCACGGCATCCATTTTCCTGATGTTATTGGGAATGAAGAGTGCCACTGCCTGAGCCCACGCCGGCATCAGGGTCGGCACCTGCGGTTGGGGACAGCCCACCAGCCCACACACAGGTGGGAAGAGCCACACAAAGGAGGTGCATGAATGTGCACCTGGAGGCAGCTTTACATGCACCCTGGGTTTGCAATCCTAGAAACCAAGAAACCCAGTTCTTGTCTTGTCCTCCAAACTGGATCAGAGTGACCTTTCCAGGGACAAATTTCTGCTCCCCTTTTGTCCCCATTTTTCAGAAGTCCTTGGAGACCATCTCTTCTAAAAGCAAAGGTGAGAACCCACCTACCCCACCGAGTGATATAGGGGAGACGTACCCTGAAATTACAAATCTCCATGATCACCCACCCAGCCCTGTCCCTGCTCTGTGCGTTCCCCCTCTCCTCCGAGGTTCTCTTACCCTGACCCTGTCCCTGCCCTGGCCCAACTCCCCCTTTACCTCTGTCCACAGTTAAGTCTGCCATGATAGTTCCCGACACCCAGAAATTCTTGCGATGTGAACTAGAGTCACTCAAGACTCAGCTCCAGGCTCAGACAAAGGTGATCACCTCATCCCGGTCCCCAAAACCTCTGTCCATTTCCTTTCTCCGTGTGTGTGTGTGTGTGTGCGTGTGTGTGCGTGCATGCGTGTGCATTCCAGCCAATACTGGGGCTTGAACTCAGGACCTAGGCACCATCCCTGAGCTTTATGCTCAAGGCTAGCGCTCTACCACCTGAGCCAACAGCTCCACTTCCCACTTGCAGCTTTTTGGTGGTCAATTAAAGCATCTCACCCATTGTCCTGGCCTGGCTGGCTTTGGATAGCGACCCTCAGATCTCAGCCTCCTGAATAGCTAGGATGCCAGCCACTGGCACCGGGCTTGGCCCCTGCTTTGTCCTCTCCTTACCTCAGACCCAGCCTCTTCCCTGCTGCCCACCAGGCTTTTGAGTTTCTGAACCACTCTGTGACTATGTTGGAGAAAGAGAGCTGCCTGCAGCAGATCAAGATCCAGCAGCTCGAAGGTGAGGATAGGAGAGAGGTCAAGGTCAAAGGTGAGGGAGGGATGGAAGTCAAGGTCAATGGTGAAGACAAAATGGAGGTCAAGGCCGAAGTGAGGACAAGATAGAGGTCAAAGTCAAAGGCAAGGACAAGATGGAGGTCAAGGTCAGAGGAGAGGGCAAGATGGAGGTCAAGATCAAAGGTGAGGACAAGATGGGGGTCAAGATCAATGGCTAAGGCAAAATGGAGGTCAAGGTCAGAGGAGAGGGCAAGATGGAGGTCAAGGTCAGAGGTGAGGGCAAGATGGAGGTCAAAGTTAGGGCTGAGGATGGAATGGAGGACAAGGTCAAGTTGGAGGCTGGTCCTGTTAGGGTCCGGCCAGGAGGAGTGAGGTTGGGGGATGCCTGAGTTCCAGGTCGCAGTCAGTGCAAGGCCGAGGGCAGGCTGGCTTCCCGGCCGGCCTCAGCCGCCGCCCCGTGCTCTCTCCATGGTCTCCGCAGATATGCTGACCCCTTCGGTCCGCCAGGTAGAAAACAAGGGGCAAAAATGGGACACGGAGCAGGGCCGGCAGGAGCTGTACGGGGCCCTGGCCCAAGGCCTGCGGGGGCTGCAGAAGACCCTGCGTGACGGAGAAGAGATGCAGCGGGCCCGCACCACCCGCTGCCTGCAGCTGCTGGCCCAGGAGATCCGGGACAGGTGGCATTCCGGCAGCGTGGAGGCTGCCTGAAGGAGGACTGAATGGGAGAGGCCTGGGGGAATGGAGGCCAGTGGAGGGGGTGAAGGGTCCAGAAACAGAGGGTGGGAGGCTCAGGGGATCCCAGAGAGAAGAGGCTGGGTGGGGTGGGGGAGGAGGGAGTGGGCTGGGGGAGTAGCAGGGGAGGCTGGGGAGGCAGGAGGCTGGAAGATGGAGGCTGAAGATGTGGCGTGGGTGAGAGTGGAGACCAAGGCTCAGGAGGTGAGGATGGGGTTGAATGTTGGGTGTGAGAGAGTTATAGGAGAGGAAATGGGCAGGCGGCAGAGTCTAGAGGGAGGGAGGGAGGGGTTATGGATCTAGATCATTCCATCCTCTCAGTAAGAAGTTCCTGTGGGAGGAGCTGGAGCTGGTGCGAGAAGAGGTGTCCTTCATTTATCAGAAGCTTCGTGAGTGTCCCCCCCCTCCCGCCAACCAGCCCACAACTGGGGGGAGATGGGGTAGGGTGGGGTCCCACCTCCCTCCCTCTGAGCCCCCACCCCTCACAGAGGCACAGGAAGAGGAGATCTCGGAGAACCTGATGAATATTCAGAAGATGCAGAAGACGCAGGTGAAGTGTCGCAAGGTGAGCGACTGCAGGAGGCTGGGCTCAAGTCCCCATTCTACCACTCAATGCTGTGTGACCCAAGGTGGGGAAAAATTCGCTTGATGTCTCTGGGCCTCAGGTTTCCCTGCTCCATAAGATGTGTAATAGGTACAATAGCAGTCCATCTCTCCCTGGTCAGATAGCTGTGTTCACTGAGAAGTAAGCACTGTGTGTTTGTGTGTGTGTGTATGTGTGTGTGTGTGTTGGTCCTGGGGCTTGAACTCAGGGCCTGAGCTCTGTCTCCGAGATTTTATACTCAAGGCTAGTTCTCTACCACTTGAGCCATAGCACCACTTCCAGCTTTTTTTTTTTTGCTAGTTAATTAGAGATAAGAATCGCACAGACTTTCCTGCCCAGGCTGGCTTTGAACCACAATCCTCACATCTCAGCCTCCTGAGTAGCTGGGGTGACAGGCGTGTCACCAGTACCCTCTTGTTAGGTACTTTGAATGCATGCAGACTGGCGTATAAGTGTGAAGTCACTGTCACCGTGATTCTTATTATTCAGACGTGTCTGATTTCTCACCCCTCCCCCACCGGAACCCCAGGTCCTGACTAAGATGACCCAGCAGGGTTGCGATCCAGCTGCCTGTCCTGAGACTGAAGGGGGGTTTGTAGAAGGCAGTAACTACTGGAAGAATGACCTCCAGAAAGAGCTGAGTGACATATGGTAATACCTAGCCCTTAGTCTGACCTAGGACCCTCATCTGACCATTCATTACCCCCCCCACCTACCAGACACCATCTACTGACCACAAAAATGTGCCGGTGGCTCAAGCCTGTCATCTAGCTACTCAAGAGACTGAGATCTGAGGATTGTGATTCAAAGCCAGCCCGGGCAAGAAAGATCGTGAGACTCTTCTCTCCAATGAACCACCAGAAAATGGGAAGTGGCGCTGTGGCTCAAGTGGTAGAGCACCGGCCTTGAGCTGAAGAGCTCAGGGACAGTGCCCAGGCCCAGAGTTCAAGCCCCACCACTGACCCAAAAAAAAAGAATGTGGAGTCTACTTGAGTCTAGCCACCTCCTTCCCCTAAGACTCACCCCTGTCCACAGCTGCCGTCCTCTTCCTGAGCAATCTGACACCTCCCAGACTCCCCATCTCTCCCTCTCTCCA